CCGGATTACGGGTCGCTCAGAAAATTTGATGACTTGCACTCCAATCTGGACTCTGATATTGCTTCTATGCTGGAGTAGACACATGGAAAGACTGTGACTGTTTATATTATGATTTATTATTGCACTTTGGCCTATTGATTTATATCATACTTGTTGTTGCTTATTTTATTTACATCACACTTGCTGTTATGCTTATTTGATCATTATATACTTGCTTATTTGCTTGTGAGTTATTTTTTGCCAGTGGTGTTCTTTTTTGTTTCTTGCATTGTACACTGGCTTCCCCCCCCCCCTTTTTTTTTGCAGCCTGATATTGTCAGCAGGGTCAGCTCTGGTTAGTATTTGGATGGGAAGTCCATGGTCATGATGGATAGGCAGGCAATGGCAAACCACCTCTGAATATCTCTTGCCTTGAAAACTCCATGGGGTTGTCATAAGTCACCTGTGACTTGATAATGACAAAAAAGAAAGGAAAAAAGGGGGCAAAAAACAGACTGAAATGCTTGTTGGGTTTTTGAATGGTCCTCATTGTTAAATCTTTCATAAATGTAATAAATAAATAGGCATTCATTTCTGCCTGATCTACTACCTAACTAAATACAAGTTTCTTTTTATACAGTTTGGCAAAAGCATTAAAACAAGGGGAGAGTTTTAAGTTCAAATTTCTGCTGTCTCATTCTTTTTAATATAAAGAGCAGCTTAATTTCTCCAACAACTATGTTCTGTCCATTTACTGGCACAATACAAAGTGACCCGGATTCAGTTATTTTTCTGTTCCCCTCATTTTGACACCTACAGTAACTATCATTATTTAATATATATTTAGTTACATGTCAGACTTTGATGCATTGTGATTCCAGAATTCCCAGAAACCCACAGGTTGTACAGTAGGGTGGGGGAGGGTATTAGCTGCTTGGAGCAGGGTTTTGTGGTGGTCTCCCTTCATCCACCCCACACATTCTGGGAACAGGGTATGACTGCAGTATTTGTTCAGCAGAACACATATAAAATGTATCAAATGGCTTTGTAGTGCATCTCAAGTAGATGGGTCTTCTAACACTCATAAAACTGGAAATATTAAATCACCCTAATTTCCGTAAGTCCCTCCACCTTGCCATGAAAAGTCAGCATCAATAGTAGACTGCATTTAGAAGACATGCAAAATGTCTAGGGGAAAGATATTATCCACAATTCATGAGCCTCTGTGAATTCTTGAAGATGCAAAGATGACGGACTTCTTGATTGATAGATCTCAATAAAGCATTCTCTTTAAGCTGAAGCTTTTGGGCTCCCAATTACTTTCTCCCAGGGGTCATTTCCTGCAGGAGCGCACAGGAGCGGAGCTCCGGCAGTAAAGAGCCCAGGGGGCGGGCACATGCAGCAAGCCCTGCTCCCAGCAGCCCTCAGTCAGAGCAAGAAGCAGCCAGGTAAGTCGCAGAGCTCCCCCCAGCCCCCCCCCCAACAGTCCAGTGGCACCTTTAAGTCCAAGTTTTATTCAGGTACAAACTCTCCGTCCTCTGCGAGGACAGATCTGCGCATTCCCCCCCCCCAATAGCTAGCAATCCAAAACAGTCCAATGGAGCCTGAGCAGTGGGTGTTGCCTTCTGACACATGGTGATGTCAGGGGCTGTGTTATATACAAATGAGTTATGCTAATGAGCTCCTGCACCTCTTTTTCTACGAAATGACCCCTGCTTTCTCCTATAGATCAGTAAGGCTGTCCAGTAAGATACAGAATTACCTTTAGTGGGGCCCCTGTCCCGGCTTCAGATAGTTTAGCAGGTTAGTGGAGGTTGCTGAGCACCAGCTAGGTTTGCCAACCTCCACGTGGGGTCTGGATAGCTGTTTTTGCAATCAATCTTCAGGTTACAGGTTACAGAGATCAGTTTGCATGAAGAATTGGTCTGCTTTAGAAGGTGGACTCTATGGCACTGTACCCTGCTGAGCTCCCTCCCCAAACCCTGCCCTCCCCAGACACCACGCCCAAAATCTCTAGATATTTCCCAACCCAGAGCTGGCAACCCTAAGTTGCCTCCATATTGTCTCCTTCCCCAGCCAGGCATGCAGTAGCAGTTTAGCTTATGCTTTACTATTTCTTGTATCTCAATGTCATTGACAACCACGATGGTGTAATCACAGACCTTGGCTCAAGGTCAGTGATTACACCGTCGTGGTTGTCAATGACATTGAGGTCCATCTTGTAGTTCTTCTGTGTATTCTTGCCATCTTTTCCTAATCTCTTCTGCTTCTGTTAGGTCCCTACCATTTTTGTCCTTTATCATGGCCATCTTTGCATGGAACAATCCCTTGATTTCTCCATTTTTCTTGAAGAGATCTCTAGTCCTTCCCATTCTATTGTTTCCCTCTATTACTTTGCATTGTTCATTCAGGAAAGCCTCCTTGTCTCTCCTTGCTGTTCTCTGGAAATCTGCATTCAGTTGGGTAAATCTTTCCTTTTCACCTTTGCCTTTTGCTTTTCTTCTTTCTTCTGCTATTTGTAAAGCCTCATCACACAGCCACTTTGCTTTCTTGCATATCAGAAATCATACAGAAATACAGAACAGAAAATAACAAAGCTAGCTTCAACTACCTAACACTGTAGAGAGCTGTGTTAGGTGGCACCAACCGAAACTGCATTAAAAAGGCCTCAAATAGCACTGTCTACATTTTTAGCAATTGCTGGATATAGTCTTGGCCCATAGTCCTTGAAAATTTCAGCTAGCTTCCTCTCTTCCCAAACCATAATTTTTGGCCCATCAAGTCAGGCGATGGTGGCATCCAATCAGAACAGGTCTTTAAGAAAACCCTCTAGAAGATGATGCCCCTGTCTACTTCCCTCCCTCAGAGGCAAAATGTTCCCTCCGTTTTTCTTTCCCTTTTGTGACTGAGCCCCCCTAGTTGTCTGTTTTCTTCTTTCCTGAAGAATTCTGGCTGTCCCACCCTGTCACAGTATTTTGGCTGTTTACTTAGCCCAGGAGCCTGAGGGAAGGAATGGGAGCCCCCTTTAACTTATACAACTTAAATGGCACTTGAAAAGTTTTTATATTCTGAACTAACAAAATATTTTGTTAAACATAGAGGGGAAAGATCAGGTGAAAGCAGGGCTAAAATTCCTGTAGGAGGGTATTTTCCTTTACCAAATCCTGTGGTAACTCAGTATGGATAATTCTGAGGTAGAATCAGTACATGCACAGACCTTAGTTCTTATGTTTCAGGCTCATGAGAGTTTCTTCAGCTATTCAGAGTTAAAATATGTTGAGAGGCTTTTGTTCCAGTGTTTTCCAAACCCTCCAGCAGTGTTCCCTCTAAGCTGAGTTAGTGTGAGCTGGCTCACAGTTTTTTAGCCTCTGGCTCACATATTTTTGTCTTAGCTCAGGAAGAATGGCTCTAGAACAGACTAATTTATGCAATAGCCAAATCACTCGCTCACAATTAATGCCAGTAGCTCATAAAGTTGGATTTTTACTCACAAGACTCCACAGCTTAGAGGAAGCATTGCACTCCAGCAGACTTTTTCTGAGTATTCTCTGATTCTTTTGGTTTCCAGAAGGTTGGGAAACTTTCCAGTATCCAATCCCCTTCTCTTGAAACCCCAGTACTTGTCTTGAGTTTTTAACTGACTCTTAAGGTTTCTATAGGCAGTTTCTAACAACACCAGACCAAGGATCTCTGCACTCTTCAGAGCTAGCTCCCTGTCTGACTGGACAGGGAATTTTCTTCTGTCTCTAGAAGATCTATCCCATTTCCTTGGTCCGAATGGGATTCTGCATCTAACGACCCACTCATCCTAGCCAACTTTCCACATTTCTCCTGTCTGTGTTAAACTGCTCTGTCAGGGCCGAATTCTGAATGAATTCTCCTCAGCATTCAGCTCTAAAGTCTCTCTCTGCTCAGCTGATGCTAACCAATCAGATTGTGTGGAGCAGCTTGTCACTCAAGGCTCTCTGTTTCTGTGAAGAATTAAGCCTTCACAGTCAATCATCTGTTTGTACAGCACTTCTCAGCTTTTCAAAAGTGCAGTCCATCACAACACTCTTTGTCCCATGCCTTGAAACTGTCCTGATTTGTGTCAAGTGGAAAGTTTAATACATTAATCAACAAAATCTGGAGGAGTGACTTTCTCTTAAGGGACAGCAACTTTGGGGGGCTTATGAACTGTTGGCACAACTTTTCTGTGTGTGACTAGTCACTCACAGCCATACAGAATTTGACAAATTCAGAAAAGGATGAAAGTTAGGCTTTCATAGCTTGTTTATTAAATTCCCTTTTCTTTCAAAAATAACATGACCTAATTTGCATTCAGATCAGGGCTATTGATAGAGCAGCACTTTCAAGAAATTCTGCATCTGCGTTGTGGAGGCACGAGTGATATCAGTCATAAGCAATGTATTTCTAAGGCCACAGCAAGCAATTGGGAGGGTGGCTTAGGAAAAGGAGGGGGATAGAAAATATAATGGAACTGTTAGCCATGTTCTGTGATGGGAAGGGAGAACTTATAAATGTTTAATAAAGTTTGTCATGAATGAGATCCTATTAATAAGCTTGAGTGGCCAGAGGGACAGGTATTGTGTCCGTTACTATAGCATCACCTAGCACAGTTTGTGTGTGAGAGAGACTGTGGAATAAAGCAGAGAAAGAGGATGAGCAGTTATAATGCGCTTCAGTCAGATGCACAGGCAGAAGCACCAGGTCCCATATTACCAACCTCTAGGTGACCTTTCGTATTAGCCTTTTCCATTCAAGATCATCAGTGCCAGAACAATAAAACCAGAGCAGCAGCAATCCTGCTTCTGCTATTGTCAATTTTGGGAACGCTCTTTGGAAATTTTCAACCTGACTGACATTTTTGAGGATTAACACTGATACCACTCAGTCGTCTTCTCACCATCCCAGGATTTTATAAAAGGGAACTGGGGGAGACTACAAAAGTCTGAGGAAAAACTCATACAATACAGCAAGCAAATGTTCAACTAAAGGATTTATTTGAGAAGGAAGACAAGATGCCTTTTGAGGTATTTAATTCATTAAGGGAGAGATTTTTAAAGCCTGGGAAAGAAGAGGTGAAGAATACTGTTAGTGACTCACTGGGACACTTCCAAAGGTAAAAGACTGATACAAACTTCCAAGACAGACCAAAGAAACTTTAGAGTAGCATATGGAAAAATATAAGGGTAAGGGGATATGAGCGGCATATGCAGAATTCTGCACCTTAGTAGCTAAGCCACAGCATAGAAAACATCAATTACGTTTGCTTTTAAACCAGGAAAGATTTGTTAAACAAGCCACAATTTGAAACACACTTTATATTGTAGATAATACTATGTTATAACTGATGATGACTTGATTTAATACTAAACTGTATCTCCAGAAAAGCACTACAAGTTTTTAAAAAATGGAATGGAATATGGTTTATAGCTTTACTTTTTTTAAAAGGGATGAAACCACAGAAAGTACAATAAATATGGTTGTATGTGTAGTTTTAAATTATGACAGGATGAAATTATAAAATATGTTAAATAAACTTCTGTGGACATAGATGTCATTAATACCTTAATCCTAAACAAGTTTAGCTGCCTAGTCCAAGTGAATTTTACATCCTCATCTTAAGAACATTTACTAAGGAGTCCAATTGACCTCAATGGGATTTATTTCTGAGTATACATGTTTAGGGTAGCAATGTTAGTGCAACTTGATTCAGCAGAAACATGCTTAGTATTGCTTCCTGCATACAAGCCTTTTAGTTTAACTGGATTCTGTCTGTAATATACTTATGCAGTGAAAAGAGTAACTTGCGAGACAAAAATTGATCTTAAATTTCAGATTTACCACGATATAATTTATAATAATAGAAATATCAAAGATTTTGCAGTCAGTCACTGAAACTCTTCTTTCAGTAGACAAGTAATCCATGATGGCATTTTTATTTATTAGTAGATGTTTATGATATTCATTAAACTAAAACAGCCTACTTATTTCATCCCTCTTACAGAACCACTAGTGTGACTAGTAGAGTATACAGACATTACAACATACTGTAATACAAATGCATTTATCGTATAATGGATTGTTTTTACTGTCTAGATGCACAGAAACAAAAGTTATTTTCTTGGATAGACTCAATTTGCACTCTCTTAAGTACAGCTTAGAACAGCTTTTTCACTTGGGGAAAATTCATAAACAAGAGTGAGCCAGCTTCTAGTTTTATAGGATAGTATTACAATGTCATTTTTAAAATTTTGTCAGTAACTGTGGGAAAAGGCTTTAAAATATATCATATGTGATGTATTCCTGCAGTATGTTAGGGCAGACAGATGAGAATTTCAGTAACAAGAGGTATGGGGGAGGTATGACATGAGAAATGAAGAGCAGTCCTTAACATACTTTAAGAGTTTTGCTTTGGCCAGAGGGTTCTGCCCCTATCGTTTTTTAAGGCTTTCTTAAGATTTGCCAGTAAACAACTGGTTGAATTTCCAGGCATATTTTGAACTTTTCCCAGGATACCTTGATAAATGTCATTTATTAGTAAATCATGGAAGTTTAGGAAGACATTTGGTCACTGGCCAAAGGCATGATTCTTTATATTTTCACAATCCAACAATTATTAACTATGGGTATATATCAACAGTCACTATCATTTTACTGTGATATCTGAATGATGTTATCTATGGATAACTGGCAAATCTATCAGCTAACTATGCACTGTTGAGTCCCCCCCCCCTTTCAAAAATAAAGTAGGGTAAGTATGGCAGACCTCTGATATTTTGTCAAAAAATTAAAATGGTTTCCAGCTCTACACTGGATGATTCCTTGGGACGATAATGGTCCAATATCACTCACTGTGTGATTTTGTCTCTTTCATTCCATTTCCAATCAAAGTCTTCCATATCCTTTAAGCCTCATTGGATTTCTGCTATTTTCCCCCCTTGATGCATGTGTACGGGGTACAGACCCTCTGGCAATGTACCAGCAGTAACAAATCCATATAGTTGTTTTAATGTTGTTGTTCCTGAATTGCAGAAAGGAAAAGTCACTCCTAGTTGTTGCCAAAGAACCCGCACATGAAGTGTTTTCCTAGCTCTGCATAGAAGATTTAGTTTGAATTCAGTAGTCGTGAGGCAACCTATATATGGGCAGAGGACTGTGCATTTCATGGTTTTAATTATTTGAAGTACTGCATTTTTATTAACAGTGTTTTATTTGGATATATCTAAAAGAGAGGGACATTAGATCTGTAAGATTCCCACAACACTTCAGCCAGCTTCTAATTATATTTTATCAGAACAACCTTGTTTCACATGATCTCCACATACTCCCATGATGCTTTATTTCCATGTCATAAATAGATAAAACCAGCTATTGATATCATAAAAGCCCGATACTAAAAAAGCTACATTTCCAGCAAGAATTTTAAAAATTTTCCCTAGAATTACAGATTGCTAATCATGTTCAGAAGTTGACTGACAACCATTTGCTACTAAAATGTACTAAACATGCTTGTTAAAGTGCATTTTCTGTGTGCAAAAATAGAATTTTGATAAAATAAAATTATAGAAGCTTTTTCTGTATCCCCTATTTTTCTCCTTCCTCTTCATCTGCTATCTGCTCTTAACTGTTTTGTCCATAATAATTTTCTGTAACTGACTTCTCTCTCTTCATCCTTGTATTCCTGTAAAGCATGGACTGTTTGCTGAGAAGGAGAATGATTTCAAATTTATTTTTCATTTTTCAGACAAGGTTTAGTTCTCTACTGATACTATATAAATGTTCAGTAGATCTTTAGTATAATTTTGCATAGACTAAATTTTGTGTGGCTTACGTACATGGTTGAATTTTCACCCCTTTACTTACCCCATCCAACATGTTCTCTGTGCAAGGCAGAGATGGATTAAATCCAGGGCTCTTGAGTTTAGGAGCCCCATCCAGACCTCCTCCTTGGTATTGTGATTTAGTGTCACTAGAGTTTAAAATATGGGCTACTATTTATTCCAAAGCTCCATATCCAGATCTCCTGGTGATGTGGTAAAGGTCCAAATTGTTGACAGTCTGTTGTGGTTAAATGACTAAGAATGAACAAACTGAACTAAATCCTGACAAGACAAAGATAATATTGGATTGAAAGGTGCAGATCACGAATGACATTGTGCTTCCCATCTTTGATGTGGCTCAGTTGACCCTTGCTGACTTGATTAAGAGCCTAGGAATCATAGTGGATTCAGCCTTACTGCTAGAGAAGCAAGTTAATGCAGCTGCAAAAAACCCCAAACAAACACTTCCTCCCAACTCAAATCATGATAGATAGCTTTCTACAGGGGTCATTTCGTAGAAAAAGAGCTAGGGGAACTCATTAGCATAACTCATTAGAATATGCCACACACCCTGATATCACCGGAAGTGTGTCATAAGGCCACACCCCCTGACATCACCGGAAATGTGTCATAAGGCCACACACCCCGCCCTCAACGGTCACGGCCGCCACCAACGGCCTTGCAGCTCCATTGCCGAGCCCCATGAGGGGCCCGGCGGTGGACCTGCAAGGCCGGCGGGAGTGCAAGGAAGCCCCGCGAAGGCCCTCCCTGGCCCCAGGCAGGCAGGGGTGGGGAGAGGCAGGGAGGAAGCAACTTACCCTCCCTCTTCTCCTGCCTCCTCCTGGCTGAATGAGGGCCGGAAGCGGGGCAGCCGGAAGCAGGGAGCGGGGCTTCGTCATGTGCCCCGCCCCCCGTACCTCACCCGGGGGAACTGCGTTCCCCCGCGTTCCCCCCGAAATGACCTCTAGCTTTCTACCTTGATTTGGCTCTCATGCACTCTACATAGGTTTCCCCTTGAAGTAAAAGCCATCTGGTGCAGAATGCCACAGCTTGGCTATTATCAGGAGCTAGGCAGAGCGTGCATATTACTCCCATTCTAGAGTCACTCCATTGACTGTCAAGGTGCTGGCTATCGCATACAAAGCCCTTAATACAACCTAGCCACATTAATTTCAATTGCATTGTATGTATTTGATGTGACCATATTATAATGCACGGATATTATACAAATAATATTAAAATACTTGCATATAAAAGCAAAGTATTCTGTACTAGTGACTTTTTTCTGATAGTCAGGGAGAGGAATATCTTCAAGTCATAAATTGTTAATCTGTCTTGATAAGAAGGCCCCACTGTTGCATAGCTACAGCTATTGGTTACAGAATCTGCTCTCACTCTACCCTGCTCCCAGGTGCAGCTGTGGTGTTATCTCATCCAAGATATGTCTATCTCAGAAGTTAAAAAATGAAGTAAAGAAACCAGTAATGCTAATAATTCTTTTTGTCAACATAGATGCTTAAGAAGAGCAAACTGGAAGTGATAGGGCAGAACAGTGAGTTAATATCATTTTACGGTTCCAGAAGGCCTAAGAGTATTTTCAGAAGGCCTAAGGGTCAGCCAGCTGGCAACCTAATATTCCTGTCACATCTCCTCCTCAAACTTCACTCATTTGATTGCTTTTGCTCACAGTATTAATTAAGAGGAGGCAATTAGACAAGAAAAAAAATTATGTGTTTCAACAAAGAAACGTGTTCAGATCTAATTAGGACTAGTCATGTATGCTGTAGTTTGTGACAGATGTTAAGGTATTTACTACGCTATGCAAATATTTTCACCTGAATTATGATGCTATGTGCATTTGCTATAGATATGAATGGTATTGTACCCAGAACAGTGATTAGGGTTGCCAGATCCATGGTCAAGGCAGGATTCCCCTAATTTCTGGGGCTCCAGCCCACTGCTGGCTGGCTGGTTTGTGGAGGAAGCCCTACCCCCAAACAGGCATGCTGCCCTGCAACATCCCTGTCATGATAATGTCACCCAGAAGAGACATCATTGCATCAGGGACAACTGGGGTGCCACTCTAGTTTTTGGGCAAACTCTTTGGTTTTGAAGGCAGAAAACCATGGAGTTTTGCCCGAAAACTAAAAAAGGCACCCCCCTAACATCCCTGACATGATGACATCACTTTGGGTGACCAGAAGATCCCAAAGGCAACCAGGTAGGAACTGGCAACCCTAATAGTGGTCCACTTATTCCCTTAAAAACCAAGCAACCAAACCAAACTTGATCCAAAACCCAATTTAAAGAGGGGTTTCCCCCCAGTTAACTAGAATTGAATCTGAACTTAAAATTTCTTCATTGAACCTGAACTAATGTTTTTCCATCAAGGGCTTCCTGCTCTGCCCTCCTCCCCTCCCTGTGGACTAGTCTGTTGATGGCAGGTAGATTTATCTATTTTGGATTTTGCTATTTGTATACAATGATTTTCTGTTGCCATTTTTTAAAACATTGTAAGCTCTTTTTGAGTCTTCACTGAACAGAGAAAATCAGGGTTAAGTACCTAAATAAAGAAATATTGACTACAATTACAGCTTTAATCAGAGATAGGTACTCCCATCACTATGCCCAAGTTCCAAGTCCATTCCCTGACCCAGGGTCAAGGATGAGCCCTCAAAACATGTTGTAGTCTCACAGTTAACCTGCCCTTTGGTTCAATAACATTAATAATGGATTGAAAAATTTCAGCGTTTGCATCAGCACTGGTTCATTGAATAAATCTCAGATGCCTTAAAATGGTATAAACCTTTTTGCAGGGGTGTCAAACATGCGGCCTGGTGGCCGGATCAGGCCCCCAGATGGCTTCTATCAGGCCCGCAAGGGCCTGGCTGCCTCCTGCTTCTTCCTCCAGTTCTGCTGCTGCTGCTGCATCATAGCTTGCTTTCCCAGACTCTCTCAATCGCTCAGGAGAGATAGATAGGCAAGCTTCTGCTCCCTGCACTGGGCTGAGGCTCCTCCCCCTCCCAGATTGCTACAGCACAGACATTTTGATGCAATAATTCAGAGCAAGAAGTGTCAGTTATCAGAGAGTGTTAAATAAACAAAATATTGCAAGAATGCTAATGTTTTTAGCATGTTTTTGTTTTGTTAAAAGAATCTTTCTGGTTGTGTCCTTTATAAAGTTTATATTTCCGCTACCTGGCATTACATTTTATGACACACGTGGCCCGGCCCGACAAAGTCCAATTTATGTCAAATCTGGCCCTCCATAACAAATGAGTTCAACACCCCTGCCTTATTGGATACGGTCAATCTGTTTCATATTTGATTATCATTTCTGATAGTACACTGGGGGACCTACTGCTCAGGGGATCAGCAGATGCCCCTTCTGCAGGGTTCTATAAGAAGTGAGGATGAGACCATATGACCATAGGTCATGTAAAATATGGTCAACTGCTAAAAATTGTCCCATGTGTTTTATGGCTATGGTTACCTATTAATTTATATGCTTGGTTACACAGTGACTCAAGCATTACCACAGTTGTAGGGAGGCTACACATAGAGAGCTGTGCTTTGGATTATTGCATGACCAGAGCCTATAGGCATCCAGCTCCAAGTACAGGTGAAACTACCACATGGTACCTTTTAAAGAAGCAACAACCATACACTTTGTTTTTGCAGGCTGCAAATCTGATGGTAAACCACATCTTTGTTTGTATCCCACCTTTCCCCAAGTCAGAGGACCAAAGGGACCTGTACCTTAGACTGAAGGGAATCATATGATGTATGACTACTCTGTACCAAAACAAAACAGCTCTGTGCAAAGAAAACAAGATATCAAGGAGACTCAAAATAGAAAGTGAAAGCAAGTAGCTACATTGGTCCAAAAATAAAAAAATAAAAACCATGTACTACCTTTTATTAGGACCAACATTCTTTGGGGTCATTTTGGCTGGTGTGGCTTTTGTATTTATATATCAGCAAGAAAGTTTCTAGTCCAGTCTATCTGACATGACAGTTTTCTATATGCAGTAGTTTCGATTTGTTTTTGTTTTTTTAATAAAGAGGCATTGATTAAAAAGAAATCAGTCATAAAGACCCTACCTTTGTTCTGAAGTGGACCACAACAAAAACAGGTTTACCATCTGATCTGAGATAACTAGGTCCTAGTAAAGAGTATATCAAAGGAACCTGACAGACAAGCAACACAGTTCTCAGCAGATATATACCTTTCTAAGTGCATTGATTTAGAAGGACTTGGGATTGCACTGAAGGTATCCAGCTACTCCATTATTTCCCTGAAATCTTACTGCCCCTGTACACAAGTGGTTTTCTTTTGAATCCACTGACTATAATTCACCATCATGGGAATGTCATTGTAGTATCTAATCAGTGAATTATATGAAGTCCATACCAGCTACTTCCCCTGTGAACCATCTTCTGTCTTCGTCTGTTTTATGCATCTTCAGAAAAATCGATGGAACCAACCTAGAAGAAGATAACATAGAACTGAATGAGGAAGGAAGACCTGTGCAGGCAGCTACTCACAAATCCCCCTTGTTTGACTGTCATTGCTGTGGACTGCCCAAACGCTACATCATTGCTATAATGAGTGGCCTGGGGTTTTGCATTTCTTTTGGAATTAGATGCAATCTTGGTGTTGCTATAGTAGAAATGGTTAACAATAACACAATTTACATTGATGGAAAGCCAGAAATTGAGGTAAGTAACTATTAAAATGCTGCTATATGTACTTTTGTGAAGTATAAAATAATGCACATTTTATATACTTAGTGTATGTTTTATCATGCTTTTCTCCCTGGTGGCAACCCAAAGCATACAAACTTACAATATAATTTAAATAAAACACAGTGTAAAAAGAAACAAAACACAGAAAGCACAGTATAAATATAAGAGGCACAATCCTAAATAATCATGGCATGCGGGGGGGGGGGAGCCTGTGTAACTTCTACTTAATTCGAACTCAGAGGGATCTCAAAAGAAATTTTCCATTAAAGAACTACGTGAGTTCAAGTCCTTGGACAGTGTGCTCCCACCTTGTGATATTATATTAATGAAAATAACAACAAGCCAAACTTCACATCTCTTATTCCTTTTTTCATACATTAGACATAGTATATAGGACAATAATGAAGGTATATAGGACAATAATTAACATGAAATAGCCTATAGAGATCACGTCTGCTATGTAGGGTTGCCAGCTAGGGTTCAGAAATACCTGGAGATTTTGGGGTGAAGCCTGAGGAGGAAGGGGTTTGGGGAGGGGAAGAACTTCAGTGGTGTATAATGCCGCAGAGTCTGCCTTCCAAAGTGGCTGTGTTCTCCAGGTGAACTTAACTGGAGATCAGCTGTAATCCCAGGAGATCTCCAGCTACTACCTGGAGGCTGGCAACCCTGGCTAAAGGAAATGGCAGTTTTGGGAGCATGGGATATCTATGGCATGGCATGTCCACTGAGCTTCCTCCCCTCCTTGGACTCTCCCCACACCAAGCACAAATCCTGAAGAATTTTCTGAGCTGGCGTTGGCAGCCATGGGTGTGAGCACTGGTTTCTGGTTCAATTCTAGAATGGAGTTACATGGTGACTGAGGATATTCAATATAATTCTAGTTGTATCTTCTTAGCTAGCTGATGAAGAAGGAATTTGAAAGTGCCCAAAGGCCCACCTTGTCCAGTTTTCATACTTTGGGCAGGTTAAAGAAAAACAACATCACTTTTGATTTAACAGTGCCTGAAATTTCACAAATCCCTCGGAGAAAGCAATTATGGAAGTCTATATTTTGCAAATATCATGAAGCTAAGTACACATCCGACCATGTGAATATTATTTCATTTGCAGAAAGCACAATTCAACTGGGATCCAGAAACAGTAGGGCTTATTCATGGTTCATTTTTCTGGGGTTACATTGTAACACAAATTCCAGGAGGCTTCATTGCAAACAAACTAGCAGCCAACAGGTAAGATTTTATAATATGCCATAATAAAGCATATCTTGCCCACACTCGCCACAGTAATTCTAGCACAGCATCATGTGGTTGATGTATGTGATGATGATTGTTAGGTGACAGCACACAATCAGTTTTATTAACATGGATATTAACATTTAGTCCATTTGAACTCTAGGGGGAGCTGTAGTATATTAGCTCTAATGCTTAGGGCCTACTGGAATGCTTGTATTTTTTTCTTTCTTTTTCTCTGCCTGTTGTTATCCTTCCTCTGTGCCTGTAACAGAGTTCTTGCATCCTGAAGGTCTGTTGGTTGTTGGAAGGTGTACAGTTAGTTAATGCTTTTTGCAGATCCTGTTGTGGCAGTAAGCTTCACTGAAAGTAACTCTGCGGGTATGGGATTGGATTGTTTCCACAACTTTGCTGACAACTGACAGCTTTGGGGAACATTTATGGGAATGTATATAATTCTAGTCACTATTTGAGGATGGGAATGGATACGTAATTGTGTCAAAGATTATTACACCCTGTAACTAATATAGTGAAAGATTCTTTCTTTCACATTTGTATCTGCGATCATTATTTATTATTTCATAACTTCCAGTAACACTTCATGCACATTGACCTTATTAACTGTGAAGATACTGTAGGTGGCCCAGAACTGCTGTGCAGCTATTACTTTTGCTACTAGTACTACTGCTACTTCTTAGACAAACTGTTTTCAAAAATAAACCCAAAATTAAAACACCGGAGAATAACCTGGTCATAAAGCTTTCGTCTCTCCCCCCCCCCCTTATGGTTGCAATTGCTAAGGAGTTAACGAACTATTTAAAAGGAGAGCTTCTAAATTTAGTGGCTTGCCAGTTCATAATAAAAGGATGAGGAACATGACACATGTGCTAATATTGTCTTTCAAGAACAAGGTACTGTTGGTCAAATACATAATTTAAGACTTGATTTTGTGCAGGCAGTTTCATTTCAGTTGTGGATGGTTATGTGGAAAAAACACATTATGAGAACAAACTAAGCGAAGTGAGCGACTTTAGGACAACTTTATGTGCAACTCAGTTCCTACATGAAAAGCACTTCAATATAGCAGTGAATGCAAATATGCACATGTATTTCTGCTGCACATACATGTACTAAGAAACCATGGTAAAATAAAGTCCAGCCCTAGATAACTGCAAGATTGAAAGTGACACCATATGCCTACGTACGTAGGATGTTTTTTAACCTTGCAAGTTCCTCCTCCTGTCCTCCATTTTTACAATGGAGGGCTAGTCTGTTGGCCTCAAGTACAGCTTTGGTGGCTATGCTAGGATAGGAACAATATTATCAAGAAGAAAGTTACAGCATGTATCTTCTACGGCAAGAGTACCTTGAAAAGAGGTAATGGTCCACTAGTAGACCACTGGCCAAATTCTGGTGGAACACCTAATGCCTACTGGTTGCTGGAATTCTTGCAATGAATGTTGAACTAGGTGAAAATTGGTCTGATTCAGGAGACATCTCTTAGAAACTTATGCAAGAGTTCATAGTATAATTTAAAATAGATTATTCAAAGTTTAGCACTTCTGAATGTGTACTATTTCGTTATTTTACATTAAAACACCTTGCTAGACCTTAGGGATTCTAGTAAAAACAAGTAGACCACACAAGATTATATCTGCTGTATGGAACTGACTTCTGGGCAGCTGTTTATATTGCTCAACAGATAGGCAATGCCTGCATATGCTCAATATATGGTTATATCCTTATATAAAATGATATACATTTTAATATTATTTCCTTCTACAGAGTATTTGGAGCAGCTATTTTCCTAACGTCCACATTAAACATGTTCATTCCTGCAGCTGCCAGAGTCCACTATGGCTGTGTTATGTTCGTAAGAATTTTACAAGGTCTTGTAGAGGTAAGGTATCCAATGTATTTGTCTAATTACACTTGTTATTAAACCAACCTAGTGATTTTTAATGCAAACAGGAGACATAATTGCTTGTTTCAAGTTGAAAGGAAATTTGCACAGAAATTGAACACAAGTAGTTTTTATTCCTTTTGTCAAAGCTGTGTTCTAAACTGCTGAGAGCCACTGTGAGCCTCCAGACGAAGATATTTTCTAGGATTCTCTCACACCTCTCAGATCCAACCCAAACTTCAACTCATATGACTTTCCCAGCTTCTTGGGTCCCCAAAATGACCAGAGGCCCCAGAATTTTGTCCCTATAGTTTTCTCCCTTCCACAGAAGCCCTGCTATGTCCTGTCTGTTCCTCAAAACTACGATTTTCCAACAGCCATAAACTTTAGATGATTTAGGGCTGGTCCACTTGATCATGTTTGAAGTGGAAGAGTTTCTTTATGGAGATTGTTACATATATTTTCCAAACAAGTGTGCTGGACTGTTAAACTGAGTACTCAGATGCCTAATAACCATATTGTACACAGATACCTCACCACTGAACCATAAGCTCCCCCCCAGTTTAATATATGCTCGATCCTATGTATGCTTATTTATAAGATGTTCTGTGTTCAATTACTCATTGTGCATAAATCACAGTCTTAATGATCAAAAGAAGTTAAGTTAAAGTGAATAGTGAGTGTGTTTCAAAATGAGAAAATTAAATAGAAATTGAATTAGTTTTTAAAATGTTTGCTAGGGTGTGACCTACCCAGCTTGCCATGGGATGTGGAGTAAATGGGCTCCTCCATTGGAGAGAAGCAGGCTAGCAACCACATCTTTCTGTGGTAAGTATACTACTTTGAGATTTGTTAACAAATAATTTTTGTAGATAGATTTTTTAAAAACCACAATGTTGAAAAGAGAAATTTGTCCTGGTTCGTTCATGCTAAAGACAGCTGAGACTTAACCAGTCCAGGGTTTGAACTGCATGAAGTAATTCTTGGAGAAAATTTCAGGAATAAAAGAGTTGCTTTCATCAGGGATAAAATTCTCATCTGCCATGTCCTGTTCAACATGAATGGTTTATAAGTCTGTTTTTTCTTACAATGGCAATTTCAGTCATGGAAAAGCTAAGAGTGTATCCTGGGTTCTTTTTTTCTCTTGTAAAATTACTGTATATGTTCCTCTTCCATATTTTATTAGAAATTCAGATTTCTGCTGGTCTTTTCATCGCTCCCTACTACTCGTATCAATTAGGTATTAATATTGAACCAGTATTTCCATCCTGTCTTGCTCCTGTCCTGATCTCATCACCTATCTATTCACTGTTACCTTCTCTGTCTCCTATGAGTATATTAATTTATGCTTCTTCTGAGTATTGTCTACACATCTCTCATAGTTCGGAAACATTTCTGCACCCTCCCCAGTGACCCCTGTGTGCCACACCCATGCCTGGAGGAGCACAAATCTACCCCAGCAGTTGTCCTGCTCGGTCTTCCACAGGGTGCACCACAGTATGTTGCTGCCAGAGGGCAGTGGGAGGAAGAAGAGGCCCACTCCCTCTCAGCAGGGAGAAGCAGAAGGGGAATAGGAGGTCCCTCCAAGAAAGGCTCTCCACACTCAGGTTGCCATGAGTGGGATATCAAGGCGGGCCACCCTCTAAGAGGTCAAAAGGGCTACATGAAGGGCCCAAGAAGCAGTCACTCACCTTGTCGTCAGCAAGATGATTGCTGTGGATGGCCAACCTTTCTTCCTCATGGAAGACGTAGCCTTTCACCAGCTGCAGTGGTGATGGTCAAGGCTCAGGTCTCCAGAGCACAAGGCAGAGCCACACAATTCACAGCATACCTGTAGAACAGCCAGCAGGACTGTTGGGGTATGGCCCAGGCCCCAGTAGGGGACAGTCCTGCCAACGAGCTACAAGGTGGTTCTGCTCCATGTGCAGGGGATGGATACGGACCACATGGCTTAAAACTTTATCGCTGTGTGATACAGAAAAGCTTGAGGAGTGAGTGGGCAGTAGCAACATTGCCTGTGGCTACATGGTCATGTATGCTGGTGTCAACATTCTGGCAGAGGTGAAGCGTGTGTGCCTCAAGGGCATTGAGCCTGCTTGCAGGGTAGAGCGGGATAGAAATCTAAAAAATTAATAAAATAAATTGTCTACCAGGCATGCATACTTCACCTGGTGCTGAAGGATGATCTGAGGCTGGAGAACACTATCAAGGCCACCTGGGATGTTTCCCCTTCAAGATGCGGTCCTTGCTCAAGACCTGCTGGTGCCTGGCCATCCACTTCTGGCACAGCATCAAGATTGCCTGTCTGCTGCACAAGAGGCAGGGGGAGGGGGATGAGGAACTCCACCTGCCATGACTGTGTGTTTGGTGAAGGAGAAGAGTGCGATGCAGGATGTCATCTTCATGAACATCCTGCACAGGGAAGAGGAGCTTAGCATCAGCTCCAACAACTGGCTGACCATCTCCCAAATGGTGGAGGAGAGGAGGAGGAGATTGGATTTATACTCCGCCCTTCACTACCCAATGGTGTCTCAGAGTGGCTTACAAACTCCTTTCCCTTCCCTTCCCCACAACAGACACCCTGTGAGGTAGGTGGAGCTGAGAGAGCTCTGACAGAAGTTGCTCTTTTTCAAGGACAGCTCTTATCAGAACTACGGCTTGCCCAAGGTCATCCAGCCAGGTGCAAGTGGAGGAGTGGGGAATCAAACCCGGTTCTCCCAGATTAGAGTCCGCGCACTTAACCACTACACCAAACTGGTGCGTGTCCTCAGACCCTTCCAGAACACCACTGACATGCTGTGTGCCCATATGGCCACTCTGAACAAGTCATCCCACTGATTTGAGGGCTGGACCAGATGTTGGCCTCCACACTGGAGCCAGCTGTTCTCCCACGGGTCAGGGCCTTGGCAAAGAGGTTGCAGGTGGGCATCACCACCAGGTTGCATCTTCTCTGAAATAAAGGGGAGTACAAGCTGGCCTGTGACCCCCGGATAAAAGACAGCATTGCATTCCTAAATGCAGAGCTCTTGCAATGCTCTGCAAAGACTGTGGAGGCTATCAGCCAACAGATGTGGCCAGAGGAAACAGCAGTTGGAAGAAGCTTGGGAGAAGGAAGAAAAGGAGTCGTAGCCTAGGATCTCTGCCTCAAAAAGCCTAACCAGGGAGAAGCCCCACTACTTGTTGTCAGTAGTGAACCGGGAGGTCAGCAGTGGCAAGGATGCCCACTGTGCAATAGTGGAGGATTTGGCAGAGGTGGTGGAGGGGGAGTACCTTGCCAAATCCCTTGAGACCGCCGACACCAATCTGGCCCAACTTTTCTTGCATGGCTATGAGTCCTGAGTCCACCTAAGGCCCAAGCCCCAGCAGGGGAGAAGAGTTCACAATCAGGACGGTATAAAATGTGGGCCCTCAGCCAAGGCCCTCAGCATGAGCAGAGACATAGGGTTGGCTCAGAGCCCTGAGTCTACCTAAAATCCAAACTGTAGAAACTGTATGGTATTTGGTACACATTGCCATCTTTATTTGCTGGTAGCAGGAGGGAGAACTGTTTGGTGCCCTATGTGCAACCTGTAGCCATCTTAAAATAAATATACCTGAATTGCTGAAGATACTCTGTGAAGATATGGGCAATATGAATGTTTGTTGTCATCAGTAGATCTGCCTGGCTGGCACAAACATGGACATTCCTGAAACAACAACACAACCAGTATGATTTCAAGCACTTTCCTGCACAAGCTGAGCTTCCCCTTGTGTAAAACGGGAGGATCCAGTTTCTCTAGGCAGAGCTCCTCTAAGCAGAACACCCTACTGTTGTAGGCCATGTGAATTAATAAACAACAATGGCTCTTATGTGTTCTATTAACATGGCTGACACTGTACATGTGCTTTATGTTTTTTAGGTTCTTATGCTGGGGCAGTTGTTGCCATGCCCCTTGCAGGTGTGTTGGTACAGTATATAGGATGGCCATCAGTCTTTTATATATATGGTAAGTTGTCCAGCAGGCAAAAATTAATTTCATTAAATATTTACAATAAGAGTTGCAAACTATTTCTAAATATAAAAAATTCCAGACTTTGAGAAGTGGGAAGAAATAGGGGATTTCCTATTTTTTGATTTATGGCAAATATGTTATACTAGGAATAAATTGTGGAAATAAATACAACGAGCTCTAGAAAGAGGCTCTGGGAGAGTGCCAAGGCCTTGGGCACTCAGTGTCAATGTACTGTGGCGACCTCAGCGGGGTATAATCACAGAGTCCACCATTTTCTCCAGAGGAACTGCTCTCTGCTACCTGAAGAGCAGTTGTAATTTTCAGTGATCTCCAGCCCTCACTTGGAGATTAGCAACCATTGTTACCCAGGAAGAAATGGCTGGTTTGGAGGGTGGAGTCTACGGCATTGTACCTGTCTGAGGTCTCACCCCTCCTCAAACCTCACCCTCTCCAGGCTCCACCCCTCAAATCTGCATGAATTTCCCAACCTGGAGTTGGCAACTCTATCTCCTTCCCAGCCAAGCATCAACCTGCCATTATCTGCCCCTCTGATTTCAGCTTTGCATCTCCTCCCCCCTCCCTCTTGGAGATCAGTTGTAATTCTAAGTGATTTCCACCCCTCTGCTGAGATTGGCAACAGTGGTTCCCCAGAAAGGAATGGCTGGTTGGGAGGGTGGAGTCTATGGCATTGTACCTGTCTGAGGTCCCACCCCTCTTCAAACCTCACCCTCTGCAGGTTCCATCCCTCAAATTTCCAGGAATTTCCCACCTGGAGTTGGCAACCCTATCTCCTTCCCAGCCAATCATCAACCTACCTTCCCCCCCTCTCTTCAGTTTTCCATTTACCCCCCCCCCACATACACCTGCAGCTTCTTCCATGCTCTGAAGCCCTGACTGCCACAGAGTCCACCATTTTCCCCAGGGGAACTGATCTCTACCATCTGGAGAGCAGTTGTAATTCTGAGTGATCCCCAGCCCTCACCTGGAAATTGGCAACAATGGTTTCACAGGAGGAAATGTAGTCTTTCTCTGCAATGGGGACCAAAGCAGCTTACATCATTCTCCTTTTCCCCTTTTGACTTGCACAACAACCCTGTGAGGTAGGTTAGGCTGAAAGTCCGTGACTGGTCCAAAATCACCCACTCAGCTTCTACAGCAAGAACCTGGATCTAGCAGACCCTGCTCTGAAGCACTGACTGATCACCAGGTATCACAACTGAACTCCAGACAACAGATCGCTCCCCCCCCTGAGAAAATAACTGCTTTGGAAGGTGGGCTGTATGGCATTTTGTTCAGCTGAGGCCTCTCCCCTCCCCAAACCCTGGCTTCCATAGAGTCTACCAGAAAATCTCCAGGAATCTCTCTACCTGGAGCTGGCAACCCTAGTCAGGACTGGCCTCAATGAGTTCCTCACAAAGGCTTGCAAAGGGTTTCCTTTTTCTGAACCAAGCTTGGTTGCCTGTGATAGTGAAATGGGCTCCAGTTTACAACTCAGCTGCTTGCCTCCCACCCTCGTCCCGTGGACGTATCTCACTCCTTAAGTTCACTGCCACCACTCATGGAATCGTCACTGCCTCTTTAGAGTGACAGTGAGATCGCACTGGCCAAATCTCCCTATTTGGAGATGGAATCCCCAATCTTTGGGGGATCCCTGGAAAGTTGGCAACTCAAGGGTCTGGCCTTTCCTTGCTTCCCTGGGGTACCCCCTCCCTTTGGTATTGTGCAGAGCAGGGGAGACTATGTGGTCAGAGCACAACACAGATTATTAGCTGAAATAAAAGAATTTATTTAACTATTTACACAGTTATGGAGTACACACAGACACACTGTTCCCTACACACATTAGTCTCTACCTCTGGAGGTTGTGGGCTCACCTGTACTTCAGCCTCTCTCTCTTGCCCAAGAGAGCAGGGAAACGTCCATTCATTCCCCAGTCCAAAACTTCCATTCATTCCCCAGTCCAGCCAACTGTGGAGTGGCTGAATTTCTGCTGCTCCCATGGACAAAGATTGCCTTGGGACAGTCCCTGTTTTCCCACACTTTTTGGCCTTGGGACAGCTTGGAACTGTAGGCCAGCAGATGAGGAAGCCCCATTCAACCCAGTGAGTGATACCCCTGCAGGATCCTCTCGAACTACAGCTCAATTAAACCTTATGGGGGAACATTTTAAACAAAGAACCACAGCCATCTTACAAACACAGGTAACTGCCATTTCGTGACACCTACCAACAGCCACTGAGGGAGGAGTTAGTCCCACACAGGAAAAGTGTTTTCGTCAAGGGAGAAAGCCGTTTGCCAGGAATTCTGACAGGGTACAGTGGCTGAAGGGGGAGTGGGTGGGGAAGAGGAGCAGATCCAGCACCCGGCCAATGGCACGCGAGTACTCTTGAGTGGCGGCTGACGGGCCAGTGGCTGAAGGAGAGCATGGAATCTTGCCACCCCAAAATAGGATTATTATATAGGAGAGATTGTAGTCTTTAAAATATTGAGATTATTGCCAAATGCTTTCACTTGAAAACGATTTGTTGATCAATAAAAAATGATTAATAGTTTTTATCCATCCTGTTTTCTTCCTACCTGTACAGGAATGTTTGGGATTTTCTGGTACATGTTCTGGCTTATGCATGCCTACGAGAGCCCAGCTGCACACCCAACAATAACCAGTGAGGAAAGAACTTACATAGAAACAAGTATAGGAGGAGCCAATCTAGTCAATGCCAGCGTAAGAGACATTTACTAACAACCAGTCATCAAATGGCTGTTTTTCAGCAACTAATTCATTGCTAAAAATCACTTGAAACTCCATACTGACAGATTAAAGGGATGTAGAGAAATAGCCATAATCAACATTATTTTCCATTCAGCTTGCCTTATCATTGTTAACATCAGGAAATGGATTACAGATCTAGTGATGATGTTTGCCCTCTCCAGACATCACATTCTGTTTCATTCACGCAGACCAGGAACCCACCAGTCATGTACACTGAGAGTGCATGTGGAGCTATGCTCTCCTGGTATGGGTGGCTGGTGAGCTTCCAATTTATGTGAATGGCACAGAATGTAATGTCTGCAGTAAGCTGCTATCTGTGTAGTTTGTTAAACAGAAACATCTACACAGTAGTGCCTGTATGTCTCCTGGGATACCAGTGTAATTACATTGATACAGGTGTTAAGAATTTATAGGTTAAATATTGATTGGGTTATTAAAGAGGGTGTTCCTTGGATGCCTCAGAGACAACTGCTGGCAAACCCAGACATTACGTTATATTCTTTTTATGAAACTGCTATAGAAATATGTTTTTCTCCTTAAGTGCACACTGCTGAAAAAGCATGTGTGATTAAGCTGTGATGGTGTGTGTTTGTGTGTGTGAAAGAAATATGAGAATCATTGGAAGTGAGAGAGATTCTTTATTGTCAGTCTTCTAGCCTGTGAGACAAATGAGAGCCCCACAAATATATATTCTTCAAGGTCCTGAAAATCTTATAATGGACTTGTAAATATAATAGGTTGGAGATACTTTTTCTTAACTCCTACTTTCTGAGCTTTAGGTAAACTACGGCCCCGGTCACATGGGAGGTTTAGGCCCGGAAGAGGGACGGATTGGGGGCGCAGCAAACAGGCGCGATCACACTGCAACATCTGGGAATCGGCGCCCACCCGTCCTCGATCCGTCCCTTCAGGCTTAAACCATGCAGTAAAAAAAACCCAACAAAAAGATAGCACCAACCGGAAACACCACAGCAAGTGCGGCCGTTGGATCGCCGGAGTGCTTGTCTTCAGGAGCATTCGAGGCTCCCAGCCGAACTGCACAGCCGGCTGCCTTGCGCTCCCTCCTGTCACTTTCCCCCCGGCATCTGATCGTGCCGGGGAGCAACTGCGCGGTGACTCACGGGATCTGTCTGATCCCGCCGCCACGTGTCTCTTTTGGTGCGGCTTTAAAAAGCCGCACTTTGGCTGCATCAATTTCCCCCCGTGTGGCAGGGGCCTACGTTCACTTTTAATTACTTCCTCAGTGCCATAAGGATTGGAGTTCTTTTGTTTTTAAAATTCTCTGTATTCTAGCAGAAGCTCTGATACGTTGTGTGGTATGAGCCTGGCATTAGTTTACCTTCCTCTAGACTCTAGAGCAGGAGTCTCCAACTCTTTTGAGCTTGTGTGCACCTTTGGAGTTTTGACAAAGTGTGCCACAAAATGGCTGCTACAAAAGGCGGGGCTAGACATTCAGTAGTTGCTACAGTTTACCTTCAGTCACACAGTGAAGACCCTTGTGCTGTGGTGGTAGCTGATGCCAAAGGAACATGTTTAAAAATTTGCACAGACGATTAACTCTCTACTGGCCAATCAGAACCCTTGCTGAGCAAAACCCCGACCTGGCTGTGCCCACTTTCTAAAAACACCTGGCAGTTACCAGGAAAGGTGTTGAAGGTTGCCATGGTATACAGGGGCACCATGTTGATGATCCATTCTCTAGAGTTTCAATCCCAGTAGTGTTGAATTTAGATGCTTAAATAAGTTGTGAAACTGATACTGGAGGGGGCCTTTCTGTCAATATAGAGGCAGCTGTGCAAGCAGTGACTCTTGCCTTGGCACATAGGATTGCCAACAGGCGTAGAGAAAAAAGTCCTGTCCCTTTATTGGAGTCTTAATGTGTAGAAATAGGCAGCAGAAGTTTTGCATGGCATAACATCACTAGGTAAATAAAATTCCATTGCATCTATTAAAGTGGTAGGACTTTTTCTACAGGCCTGTTGGCAACTCTTTTTACACAGGACCTTTGTCATTCCTTCAGCTCCTAAATCCCAGCCATTTTAACATTGTCCTGTTCTTTCTTGTAGAGATTTAGTACCCCATGGAAACAGTTTTTCACTTCAATGCCAGTTTATGCAATCATTGTGGCAAACTTTTGCAGAAGTTGGACTTTCTACTTGCTGCTTATAAGTCAGCCTGCTTACTTTGAAGAGGTCTTTGGATTTGCAATAAGTAAGGTAAGCCAAAAAAAAAAATGGAGCCCCCATTTTTCGCTAAGGGCCTGATGATAAAGTGTTGAGTGTTTGTTATGATTCCCTTGAGATCATTAAGAAATAGGGCTCTTTGATTTGTCTGTTAGTCTCTGTGCTGTGAGGTGTAGTGACTAGAGTGTCAGACTAGGATCTGGGGGGACCTGGGTTCAAATTTGCGCTCTGCCATAGAAACTTGCCAGGTGGCCTTGGATGAGTAGTTTAGCCTAACCTACCTCACAGAGTGGCTATGAGGATAAAATGGAGGAGAGGACAATGATGTAGGATGCTCTGAGTCCCTACTGAGGAGAAAAGTGGGACATAAATATGTAAATAAATAAATAAGCCGTATCAGTCAACTGGTATAAGAGTGGCTGGCAAAACCATGAGGTTTTGGACTAGGAAGGAGAGAGCAATGCTGCTTTTAAGTGCTGTCACTCGCCAGTTCCTTTCCCTTCCTGGGAAATTAAGTTACATGATGAACGATGAAACATGTTTGTTGTTTCTAATGTTTAGTGTGAAGGATTTCCCCCAAGAGTTATTATCATGAGAGTCCTTACATAAAAAGGTGTTTTGTTGCAACTCCAGCAGTGCAGTTCTATGCAGTGTTACCCTGAGTAGCCCCACTGAATTCAGTGGTAAAAGATAAAGGTAAAGGTTCCCTTGCTTGAAAGCCGGTCGAATCCGACTCTAGGGTTGCGGTGCTCATCTCCGTTTCAAAGCCAAAGAGCCAGCGCTGTCCGAAGACGTTTCCGTGGTCATGTGGCCAGCATGACTATACACCAAGGCGCATGGAACGCTGTTACCTTCCCACCAAAGTGGTCCCTATTTATCTACTTGCAATTTCTTGCTTTCAAGCTGCTAGGTTGGCAGACTTGAATACCTTTAGTATTTCCTCCTGGAGATAAACTCAAACCAAATGAATGGCATTCATTGTGCAACATATCAGCATTTTAAACTGAGTCTTTGATCTAGCAGAAAAATTAATATTAGCTCACTACATCATTACATCTCCCTAAAGGTGGCAACTCAATACTTGAATTATCTGCATTTATGACTGCCACGTAGGGAGGGGCTGTGGACCAGTGGTAAAGTGTTTGCTTTGCATGCAGAAGGTCCCAGGTCCAATCCTTGGTATCTCCAGTTAAAAGGATCATGTAGTTCTGGATCTGAAAGACCTCTGTCTAAGACCATAGCGAGCCACTGGCAGGCTGAGCAGGCAAGGGCAGACTGTACATTTCTGAGAGCTACTTAATTTTTTTCCCCAAGTGCCTCAGGTGCTACTGGTTGCAAATGGCAGTTCACTGAGTGAAGTCAGTCACAAAATGGCTTCGTTTACAGCATTTCACAGCCATGGTCGGGAATATTTATTCCTATATATTTTAATATTGGCTCCTGGCTTTAGAGAACTTTTCTGAACAAGTGAGAAAGGTGCACTGTTGATTGAATCATCACTGTACAAATAAGTGTACCAGTACATGACCATGGCTGTGAATGAATTTTTTGATCAATATTCTTTCCTTTGGTCATAGACAGTAAATATCAGAATAACTTCATCTTGGTCAGTTTATAGTGAATGAATGTTATATTATTATGTCAGGAGCCATGCTGCAGTATTATTAGTTTCACCACTGAGGAAGACCAATTGAGCCAAACGTCAGGCTCAGTATTTGTCACTTTGGGATGTCATTGTATATCATCCATGAAGTTAGAAATACTTATAGCGCCATGCTGCCTTTGACTACTCTTATTTAATGACTTGGATTCAAAGTGACTCACTCTTTGTTGAGCAGAAAGAAGTTCTGTTTGTAAGGTTGCTAGCCCCAGGTCCCAGTGACCGTTTCCCCACTTTTGAGGGCTTCGATCTGCCTCCAGCCAGCTGACTGGTGGGGGAAAACCCACCCCCAAACAAGGGCATCCCCAATGCTATGACATCACTTCTGGGTGGCATCATCATGCCGGGGATGTCGTGCAGTGACACTCTGGTTTTGGGGCAAATTCTATGGTTTTGAAGGCAAAAACCCCATAGTTTTGCCCTCAAACCAGTGTGTCGCATGTGACATCACCAGCGCGATGATGGCACTTCTGGGTGATGTCATCGCATTGGGGATGTTGTGCACAATGTCCCACCCCCCCCAGAATGCCCCCCAAATCCCCTTGCCATGACAGCAGGGGTCTTTTGGGGCCGGAGCGCACCAGAGCACCACTCCAGCAGCCTGTGTGGTGGCAAGCCCCACCCCCAGCTCTTTGTGCCAAAAGCACTGCAACTGGGGAGGCCCGAGAGCCCCGCCTCTGAGTTTCCCGAGCCCGCGCAGAAGCGCTGTGGTTCGGGGAAGGCCCGAGAGCCCCGCATCCGGGTCCCCTGGGCCTGCGCAGAAGTGCTGTGGCTCAGGGGAGGCCTGGAGAGCCCTGCCCCCGGTCCCCCGGGCCTGCGCAGAAGTGCTGCAGCTCGGGGAAAGCCTGGAGAGCCCTGCCCCCGAGTCCCCCGGGCCTGCGCAGAAGTGCTGCGGCTCCAGGGAGGCCCGGAGAGCCCCGCCCCGGTCCTCCGGTCTTGCGCAGAAGCCCCTGGGTCCCCCGGGGTCCCCCGGCCTGCGCAAAAGTGCTGTGGCTCGGGGGACGCCCTGAGAGCCCTGCTGCTGGCTTCCCCAACTCCCGCCGAAGCAGTAGGTAAGGGATCCATGGGGGTGGGGGTGCTTTCCCTCCTTCTTCCCTTCTCTCTTTCTTTCTTTCCTGCCTTCTTCTCTTTTTTCCTCCTTTCCCTCCTTCTTCCCATCTCTCTCTTTCATTACCTCCTCCTTTCCTTCTCTTTCTTTCCTTCTTTCCTATCTTTTTATTCCCTTTTTCCTTCCTTCTTTTCCTCCTTCTTTCCTTCTCTTTCTTTCCCTCTTTCCTTCCTTCTTTCCTTCTCTCTACTCTCTCTCTTTCCTTCCCTCTTTTGTCTTTCTGTGGCCCAACTCTAGTGAGAAGGGGTTTAAACTTTACTCCCCCCCCACAGGCCAGCTGAGGAAGGGAGGCTTTTGAAGATGCCTCCCCCCTTTTGCTTCCCCTTCTGACATCACTTCTGGTGATGTAAGGGGGTGTGGCATATGCTAATAGCCTAGTAGCTCATTAGCATACCATATGCTAATTAGCTCCTGCAGCTCTTTTTCTACGAAAGGACCCCTGCATGACAGCAAGGGGACCTGGCAATCCTGTCTGTTTCCTCAGTGGGGAAGGGTTTTGCCAGTTCTCACTGTTCTAGAGAGTCCATTTAAACTCTAGAAGGGTTTATTTGTGAGGCAGGATATAGCAAAGATGGGGCAGGAAATCACTACACTGTGGAGTGAAACACCATTCTGTGTATACAACCCATAATAAGTATTTATTCAAAGGCTTTTGTCTGGAAAATACAAATTATAGGGAGCATCCACTACCAAACCAGTTTGCCTGGATAAAACAGGGAGCATATACAGACAGTCTTTTGGTCACAGATATATTCACATACCTAAAATGTGCTTCCATGGAGTTGTGCATATTTACTTTCAGGTTGGCCTTTTGTCTGCAGTTCCACACATGGTCATGACAATTATTGTACCCATTGGAGGGCAGCTGGCTGACTTTTTACGGAGCAGAAGGATTTTAACAACTACTGCAGTAAGAAAAATCATGAACTGTGGAGGTACTATTATATTTCATAGATAAAATGTTTGAATGACATATTAATAATGCAGAAGTCTGCTCTGCTGATAGGCAAGTATAATTAACAGAGTCTAAACAATGATATATCCTTTTATCTTGAATCTATTTTTTTAAATGTAGTGGGAAGAAGATGAGCTTAATAATGAAAATAATTGCATGTGCCACCTGAGGTACCACTTTTCTGACAAAGATTTTGGTTTTTACTCTCCAAAAATGTTATATTTTCGTGATCACATTTGTTTCAAATTTCAAATCTTTACACAGGAAAAGTTAGTACTGCCTTTAACAGCATGTTAAAGATTCCGGTGTCTTTAATAGCATGTTGAGCTGCACTGAGGGGCCATGACTCAGTGATGGGACCTTCTGCATGCCAAGCAGATGCTCTAAGTTCAGTCCCTAGCATCGCCAGTTAAAAGGATCAGGTAGGAGGTAGGAGGTAGGAGGTGATGTCAAAGATCTCAGCCTAAGACCATGGAAAGCTGCTATCAGTCTGAATACTGACACTGATGGATTCGTGGTCTGATTCAGTATTGGGCAGCTTCATGTGTTCATGTGCTAAAGGTATAGATCCTCTGTCCTTTAAAAAATGAGGCAATTCTTTTCCGGTTCAAAGTTTTTATTTTTTATAAAAAGAAAAAGTATAACACTGTTACTTTCCATCAGTTTTCGTTACATTACAGAGTCATTCGTCTTTAGTTGTTTACAATAGCGGTTATTGGTTATTGCATATCCGTTACAAATCCATAGTATAGCTTTCTATCACAATTCTATCTGGTCTTCTATCCATTTATATATTCTATCCCATCTCCTTTTATGTATCGTCTCATTTTTATTTTGCATTCTTAAGCTTAAGTCATCCATTCTGGCTAATTCTAATATTTTATTTAACAAGTCTTCCCTTGTGGGTAAAGTATCTACTTTCCATTGTCGGGCTATTAATAATCTGGCTGCAGTTATAACATAGCTAATGATGTATGCATCTTGGTTATCATATCCTTACGGAATCATATTTAACAGATATATTTCCGGCTTTAGGGCCAGATTTATACTCAAACTTTCTTGGAGCACCTCCCTTACTATTTTCCAAACTTTTTGTATCTTGCTGCATTCCCACCACATGTGGTAGAATGTTCCTTTAGAAACTTTGCATTTCCAACACTTATTTGAGTACCCCTTCTAGCATTTGGCCAGTTTATCAGGTGCCCAGTGCCATCTATGAAACATCTTATAGACATTTTCTTTATATGCTACCGCTTTCATGTATTTAACTAATTTCCACATGTTAGACCATTGCTCTTCATCAATTTCTCCTATATCTTTTATCCAGGAGATCATTACCGTACGGTAAAATGAGGCAATTCTAATGCAACTCTGTTGACTCTCAGGTGGCTGCTCATGTGCAAATATTTTCATAACTAAGGTTTTGATGGTTAGACACCATATTTGCGGACCCAGCCCTGAAGGGGGAGGGAAGAGATGGCAAATGCCATCCCACCCAACATAGTGAGAAAAACAGAATGCACAAACTTATTGGTAACAGTAGCTGGAAGAACCTTGGCGCAGCATGGAGCAAATGGATCCCACATTGGCCACCCCTTTTGCCAGCCAATGAAAACTCCCTCCCTGCCCCCAGCCCACCTGCTGGGGAAGGGATAGACCAGGGGAGGGCAGGATGCTGAGATTCACATGGACAGTAGCCACTGTGTGGCCTCCCCTGCCATTTATTTATTTATTTATTTGATTTTTATCCCACCCTCTTGGCCGAGGCTGGCTTAGGGCAACTTACAATAAAATTCCAACAGTGCCCCTTGAACCCTCACCCCAAAATCCCTTAAGGGTTTGGGGAAATGGGCACGTAGGCCCTTTCCCCCCGAAATGGATCTGGCCCCATGCTGATACCTTCAACACAGTTGTTAACAAAGCATCAACATACAGGGAGGGTAGGTAGGCAAAGCCACAAGACAAAAAACGGGCTGTAAAGTACTGGGTACAAACGTGTTGATAAGTGAAACAGCTCATAGTTTATTTCAGCTCGGGAAAACATGACAAGAAAAGCAGGACTGGAGGCCTGCTTGTATTCCCAAGCACACCCAAACACACCCCCACACCTGTGATAGGATTATTTACAGTGCACATGCATTCTATAGATCACTCTAGGATCCTGACCGCCCGATTGGGTGCGTTCTAGGATCTGTGCTGGCTATTGTCTTGGAGAGTGAAGCTTAAGCCATTCACATGGCTGTATGAGGACCCGACCGCGTGCGCCGTCTATGTAAGAACACAACACTCCTCCCCCCATGGTTCAGATGTCCCCCCCTAGCAAACAAAGTATTGGAGGTATGTGGGTCTCCGCCATTCCGGGGTCAAATGGTGCAGCTCTGGGGTCTGGGCTGTCTGGCCTGGGGCTGGCCTGGGGCGTTAGGGAGTAGCTTCCATGGCGGCGGTTGGGATCAGTCTGATGCTGCTATCTGGGGTGCTGCCTCGGTCAGGGTTGTCGCTGCCGCCCTCCTCCAGAGAAGCACTTGGTCATGGTTGTGCTTGTGTCAGAGTCTCGGGTTCCTCCATCTCTTGGAGCTTGGGGCTGGAGCCCTCATCCTCGCTGTCATCCGGAACTTCCTTGTCTGGGGGCAGAAGCCGCTGCCTGAGATCGATATGCCTCCTTAGGAGCTGGCCGTCTTCTGTTCTTACCTCATAGGACTGTGGCCCCGTCACCTGAACTACCCTGGCTGGAATCCATGCAGGACCCCTGGCATAGTTCCTTGCATACACCGGGTCCTCCGGGAAGAACCCTCTTGACGCTGCCTGGGTCTCCGGAGCGGCGCTGTGCTTGGGTGCCCAATCCAGGTGTAGGTGGTCAAGTCTCATTGCGGGATGCCATCCCATCATCAGTTCAGCTGGGCTACGGCTGGTGGCGGTGTGTGGTGTGAGTCGCTGACCGAACAGGAAGGCGGCCAGCTTGTAGTCCCATTCCCCTGGGCCCATGCGCTGTAGAGACTCCTTGGTGGTATGCACCATCCTCTCTGCCTGGCCGTTGGTTGCAGGGTGGAATGGTGCAGAGCAGATGTGCCGGATTCTGTAGTACTCCACGAACTCCTGGAACTCTGCCAAAGTAAAAGCTGTCCCTTTGTCTGTTACTAAAGAGTTCAGGATGCCGTGTATGCTGAAGATCTGCCACATTGCCCTAATGTCGGACCTCGATGAGGTGGATGGCACGACTACCACCTCCAGCCACTTGGAGTAGGCATCCACTAGGATAAAAAAGATCTGTCCCTGGAAGGGGCCTGCGAAGTCCAGGTGAAGCCTGGCCCAAGGTTTGTGGGACGAGTCCTAAGGCCGCATCGGAGCTCTGGGTGGTTCTGGCTGGGACTCTTTGCACATTTGGCAGCACTTCCCCTGGTCCTCGATTTCCCTGTCTAATCCCAGCCACCATACATAGCTTCTTGCTAGTGCCTTCATGCGCACAATTCCAGGATGCGTGTCATGAAGCGCTGTGAGCACTCGCTGGTGCAGTGGGGGGTATTATTACTCGGCTTCCCCATAGTAGGCAGCCCTTGTGGGAGGACAGTTCATCCCGCCGAGATGAGAAGGCGGTGAATTCCGGGCTCACCTGGCTGGTGGGCCACCCCCTCCCCACACAGTCCAAGACCCAGGCGAGGACACGATCACGGGCGGTGTGTCGGGACACTTCGGCAACCTGTACAGGGTGGTCTGGCAGGGCCTCCAGCAGGGTGACGAAGTGTGCTGGGGCCGGGTCGAGGTCACACAACAGTAGCGGGAGGCAGCTGAGCGCATCTGCATGGCCCATTGCCTTACCGGGGTGGTGGACAAGCGCATACTGGGACCCGGCCAAGAAGATCAACCAGCGGACGTTCCAAAGGTACATTGGCATTTTTGATAGATTAGTTTTTTAAGTCCGTCCCCTTGTTAGTGTAGCTAGTGGCACCTGCAGCGCCTAGATGATAGAAGACCAGACCTCCAGAAGACGTTGCATGTTCCTGATCATGTGACCCTTTCTACTGATGTCTCCAGGGTCCCAAAGGGGGAAAATGTTGCCCTGCAAGGCACTTAATGTGCTCTTATGAACTATAACTCATAAGTAATTAAAATGGACTATGCGAAGATATGATTAAGGGACGGCATTGCAAGGTAACCCAATATGATGCCAGTTGAGACTGCACACCTGAGAAAAGAAAATCTTCCTTTGCGTTGCTGTTCCAGTGGTCCTTCGCTGTTACCTGCCCTCTTACCTGTTGTGAGATGGACCAGTTCTTTAGCCTGCATAACGCCATGCCATGCCCAAACACGAGGGCAGAAAGCTCCAAACGCCATTAGGAGCTCCATCTGATACATGCAGGCAACCCTTTCCCCCCTCCTCCAGCTACCTGCAACTCTGCAGGAGGCTCTCCCTACGGTTGCTTGGCAACTAATTGATCACCCATCAACGGCCGGGCTAGGGCCATCAAGAGACAATAGCCCTAGCCCGATGATTCATTTATCTCTTCATCCAGGTGCCAGTCCCCAGACTAAGTTACTAGCTCTCAAGGTACTCCAAACGATGCTGCACCTTGCTGCACACAGCATTACAGTATCAGCCATTTTATTTTCATTTCCATTCCTGATGATCCCTGGAATGAAGTTTGCCTGTTCCACTACAGCTGTACAGAACTGATTTTTTTCATCAAGTCATCCACTACAACCCTAATATCTTAACTTCTCAGTCTTAGCAAGTTCAGACCCCATCAGCATATATTGAAAGTTGGGGGAGGGGGTTGTTCCAGTGACCTTACACTTACATTTGTCACATTGCTGCCCTCTCACCCAATTTAGAGAGCTCTTCCTGGGGCTCTTCCCAATCCATTTTGGTTTTCCCCATCCCAGATAATTTGGTATCATCTACAAATCTGGGTACTGCACTGCTCACACCCAATTGCAAATAATTTATGAACAAATGAAAGAGCATCAGTCCCAATGCCAATCCTTGTGGGACTCAGCTGCTCCTTTCCCTTCATTGCAAAAAATTGCTCATTTATTCCTACTGTCTTCTTTGAGTCATTTAACCATTTTTTAATCCCTTCGAGGACCAGTCTTCTTGTCTAATGACTGATAAGCTTACTGAGAAGTCTTTGGTTCCAAAAGAGTTTTGGAAGTCCAACTATATAATGTCTGCTGGATCACTTATAGCTATATGCTTGTTAACCTTATCAGAGAATTCCAAAATGAGGCAGGGCTTCCCTTTGCAGAAGCCATGCTGATTTGCCCTTAGCAGGCTTTTTTCCTATATGCGCTTAATCTATCTTTAATAATTGTTTCTGTTCATTTACATGAGACAGATGTTAGGCTAGCTGACTTGTAATTTCTGGACCCATTTTTAAAAAGTCAGTATAACAGCACTTGACTGGACTGAACAGACTCATGACGTTTATGGAAGTGGAATATTTTAAAGTATAAATTATTTTTTCCATCTTTTCAATTTGCAGGATTTGGAATGGAAGCTACCTTGCTTTTGGTGGTCGGCTATTCTCACACAAGAGGTGTGGCTATCTCTTTCTTGGTTTTGGCAGTGGGCTTTAGTGGATTTGCTATTTCAGGTAAAATTTAAACTCTTAATGTATAAACCAGTTAGGGGAGCAATTTTAAAAGTTAGTAGAGCTCAGCATAAATACCACACAAAGAACTACAGAAAATAAGAAAGCCTCCAGAATTAAGCACTCTTGTGGACTAGCCTAATATTATTTTGGTCTCAAGAAAAATAGATACAGTGATTAAACAAAATTGGACCACATGCTGCCCTAAATGTATTTCAGTTTCTTGCCTTTTGTTAATCAGGAAGAAAGAACATTTAGCTAGTTCTCCCCTTAAAAGTGTAGGAATGTTTTCATATTGTGTGTTTCTGGAAGTTTAATTTATCCTTATACAATGCAAGATTGATTTTAAATGTAATGGCAAGCCCAGTCATGCATTCAGTGCTTTGCAACACAGCAGTTAAAGAAGCCTTGTTGCTTGCTAAATGAAGCCATTTAACTCGCCAGATTTTTCACAGAAGGCTGCTTGACTCACTAAGTTCATATTCAGAGTAACATTGAAGTTTGCAACTATTGAACTGTCTAAACAGCCCTTGGCATTCCATGCTGGGGAACTAACTGATTAAAGCCATTCTCCATCATAGCATGGAATGGCTATATAAGGCCTTTGCAAAAAAGGTGAAGTCAAGTAAAGGAGAGGAAAAGTTATATAAGAAGAAGAAGAAAAGAAGAGTTGGATTTATACCCCGCCCTTCACCTGGAGTCTCAGAGCAATTTACAATCACCTTCCCTTCCTCTCCCCACAACAGACACCCTGTGAGGTCGGTGGGGCTGAGAGAGTTCTGAGAGAACTGCTCTTGAGAGAACAGCTCTAGGAGAACTGTGGCTGACCCAAGGTCACCCAGCTGGTTTCATGAGGAGGAGTGGGGAATCAAACCTGGTTCTTTGGATTAGAGTCTGCTGCTCTTAACCACTGCACCAAACTGGCAGATACTGAGAGGTTCCTGTATATCTGAGTGTTTCTTAGACAGGGAGGTCCTACTAAGTGCAACTTCTTCCATCACTGCCACATTGTGTTAAAGCCACACCTGGTGCAATTCTGTATTATGCTCCTTGAAGATATAAAAGCCCTTCAACTTTGTGGTGCCCCAGCAGCAGCATAGATGCCCATTATGGATGAGTATCTGAAGCCAGTACTAGCCACATGTGGCCCTAGAGCCTGAGAGAATGACTCTGCCACAGTTGTTTATAGCAGGCAACAGCTGATGCCTTTGCTAGACTGCAGGAACAACCACATTGGCACTGCCACCAAATCTGTTGAAATTGGAGGAGGGATAAAGCCCCAACATGTGCTAAGACAGCCTCTTATGATGATAGTCCATGAGCCTCTTGAATTGCTTTTCAATTGCTGATCAATCAAATACTGAACAGTCAAATGCTATGTAATGACTGTCAAAAAGGAACTCTTGCATGAAGAATATTTTCTTGCTTTCTAAACATTTCCTAAACTTAATTGTCATTGATTTTTCTTTCAGCACACACAAAAATGCCCTGACTAGAATAGCCCAGGCTAGGCTGATCTCATCAGAGCTTGGAAGCTAAGTAGGGTTGGCCCTGGTTAGTATTTGGATGGGTGTCAGACTCTCAGTGAGACCACTCTTCATTCAATATTACTTAAAGAAGTTTATTGGAAAGATCTGGTCAACTGCAGAGATGAATGTCCTTGTTAGGACTGGCGAGTCCAGGGCGGGAGATGGAAAGTAAAGGTGAATGCCCACATTCCACACGCATGTAACACACACCAGCTTTACTAACGGTTGTGATAGATATATGACCGACCTAGCTATTCCCAAAGTCTTATCTTCGCCCAAGGTCACTCCCATGTGAAAACCCAGGCGCTCCTTGAGGGCTGCTTCAAGAAGAGTTACACTTAGGCGGTGCATCCCTAATACTACAACAATCGGCCTCTCACATGCTCCCCCCCCAGGAATCTCATGGCAGCGAGGGCATGAGATAAGGAAGGAAGAAAGAAGCCAGATGTGCCCCGAGCAAGCAAGAATACAAAAGCGAAACTTGCATTAGCAATACAACAGTAATAAATCCCAGTTCAGGCCCGAGTCTGACAATGGGAGACCACCAAGGAATACCAGTGTCACTTTGCTATGCAGAGACTGGAAGTGGCAAACCACATCTGAATGTGTCTTGCCTTGAAAACCCTACACGGTTGCCATAGGTCTTTTGCAACTTGATGGCAAAAAACAAAACCACATGTACACTGAAAACATTCACTATAATTTAAACTGCTCTTTAGCTTCAATTTTCAATTTCTAATAAAATGTTTATCATTTTCATGCTTTATAGCCAGTAGGTGGTTAGGAAACAGGAACTTGCTGAAAGAAGTTCTCTTTCAGTTCAGACTCATAGTTTTAATTCCATCAAGGACATAGCAATTTCAAATTATTTCCTTCCGTGAGGCCTTAAGCAGCGAAGCTTCTACTGTTTTTGTTTCCAAGATACACCATTTTTTTCTCTAGAAAGAGATACCTTGTAGAAGGAAGAGGGCAGGTTTCATTATTGTTTTGGTGTATGTGGCCTTTTTTACTATAAATAACAAGCCTTGCCTTGTGGATTGCATGCTGTTGACTAATTTTATCTGTTACAGGATTTAATGTCAACCATTTAGATATCGCCCCCCGCTATGCCAGCATCCTCATGGGCATCTCCAATGGAGTAGGGACATTGTCAGGGATGGTGTGTCCCCTCATTGTTGGTGCAATGACTAAACATAAGGTGATCTGTTTTTACTTTTTTTAATTGGCAGATATTTAAATGCCAGTCAAATAAGTGTTTAAAAACCAAATTAGAAACCGTTTAAAAAGCCAAACATTCAGTACTTCCAAGATAGGCAAAACATGAATAATCCAAGGTGGACAACAACTGGGTGGTACTCAAATTAAAGTAAAAATTAGATGAGTACCAGAGTAATCATGATATTATTTTCACTCAAATGTTCTGCTCTAGAAAATTCTCCAAAAGCAACATTACACATTCCCTGGACATTTTTTGTTCCACTCTTCTGTGGAATGAGATTAGACAGACATAAAAACAAGATAAATCCTGTTGGATCAAACCAAAATGCATCTAGGATAGCATTCTGTTTTTCCCAATGACCAACCAGATTTGTTGTTCAGTCGCACAGTCGATTCTGACTCTTCGCGACCCCATGGACCAGATCACGCCAGGCCTTCCGGTCTTCCACCGTCCTCTGAAGTTTACTCAACTTCATGTTCATTGCATCAATGACACTGTCTAACCATCTCATCCTTTGCTGTCCCCATCTTCTTTGACCTTCAATCTTTCCCAACATCAGGGTCTTCTCCAGTGAGTGCTCCCTTCTCATTTGGTGGCCAAAGTATTTGAGCTTCAGTTTCATTATCTGGCCTTCCAGGGAACAGTCAAGGTTGATTTCTTTTAGGATTGACTGATTTGATCTTCTTGCAGTCCAAGGGACTCTCAAGAGTCTTCTCCAGCACCATAATTCAAAAGAATCTATTCTTCGGCCCTCGGCCTTCGGCCAGATACCTTTGTGTAATAACCTTTCCCTACTGTTGTCTCCTACCAACTGACATTCAAATATATCCTTATTTGGGATACTGAGGTTCCATTTAGCCATCATGTCTAATAACCATTTGTTTGATATTTAGCAGTGGAATAATGCATCACAGATGCACGTGTGTTTAGCTTCTAAGAAAAGTTTACTACAACATTAGGGAAGGGGTTACATGGAAAGAAAGCAACAACAGCTTAACTAACTCATCTTTGTTTCTTTGTTCCCCCACTCTCTGTGTGTGAGTGTGTGATCCTAAGGACAAAGTGGATGTTTTCTCCAAAGCTCCACCCCTTGTGTATGTGCAGAATAGCATGACCTATCTCCAATATATTGATTAGCCAATAATCAATCTTAAGGTCAACGCATTAAGAATAAAACCTCCCCTTTTTGGTGGGAAGATTCTACTCAACAACTAATTGGCTTTATGCTAAACTTGTTTACTAGCTTACAGAAACTTCAGCTTAACCCTTCCATGACTGAAGGAATGACACTTGCAAAACCCAATACCATTGCTACACCTATATAACATCTAAAAGTAGTGGCTACAACTGAATCTTGTTGCAGAGAACTACTTAAATTAACTATGAATATATTCTATCCTGTATATATTGCTTATCAGTTTTGTGGGCGTGTCCATGATTTCTTACATTGTATGAAAGGAATACTTTCCCCCCTATTTACCTTCTTCACTTTATAAATTGGTTTCATTTCTTCTCTGCTTAGTTGCCATTTCTCTAAATTAAAAGGTTCTAATGTATTGTCCTTCCATAGTAGAAAATATGCTCTAACCACTTTGGTTGCCCTCTTTTACATCTTTTCTAACACAGAGATAGTATGTTCTTCTGTGGCATTTTCTGTAATAGTGCCCATCAGTGAAATCCCCCCATACCTGTTTTCCTTGTATCTGATCTTTTTTCAGTTTCAGGCATCAATTCGTTTCTGTTTGTTTGGGCCTTTGTCTATTTTGGTTGCTATGAACTGTTATTTATTGTTGATATATCTTATACATTAGTTTTGCTTGTGTTTTAATATTATGTTTTACAGAGTTATGAATGTATGCATTTTATTTGTAAGCCACCTATTCTGCTTATGATTGAGAGGGAAGTAAAAAAAAATTCAGTAAATGAATAAAAATTTGCTTCCCACAGAATGCTGTTATACCATTTTAGCTATGTATATCTCTGTGAGCTGGATGCAATTCATGTCTACAGAAAGACAAACTTGCCATGAATTTTGGTAGTTCTAATCATAAGCATTTAGCCACAGGAAAATATTAACAGGAAAATATCCTTCTAAATTGGTGAGTGGTGTGTTTTATTTTAAAAATCATATTAGAAATCAAAATGAATTGTAATTGGTCATTTCTCTGATGTCTAATTTATTCTTTCTTATCTGTATAATAATTGTCCCACGTCCTTCTTTTAGACCCGCGAAGAATGGCAAAATGTCTTCCTAATAGCTGCCCTAGTTCACTATAGTGGAGTGATATTTTATGCTATTTTTGCTTCTGGGGAGAAGCAGGATTGGGCTGACCCAGAAAACCTGAATGAAGAGAAATGTGGAATAATTGACCGGGATGAACTGGCTGAAGAGACTGATCTGAATAGTGATAGTTTTGTTAGCCCAAAGAAAACATATGGTGCTACTTTTCAAAATGATGAAATACGAAGGAAAGTGTTGCACAAGCAAAAGGAACTGATGCAAGATCTAGAAGAACAGACTTCCTACCAATATGAAAATGGAAACTTTCAAGATACATCATAATATCTGACCATATATTATTTGTGTAACCATTACCTACCCTGCCCAAAACCAAGCAGTATCTCTGATTATTTAGTTGTTATTTTGTGAATAATCTTGCCAAATGGCTAGCTGTGATATAGTACTTTTCAACCTGTAGCACAGAAAAAGAACAAAATTGGGGCGTCTGTTATCCCTATGTTTAGCCCTTGGAGTCAGATATCTTTGTGAAGCCCGCAGGCCTTTTATGTTATACAGACCCTCAATATTTATTTTCACTGTTTCTAGATCATTTTTCAACTGAAATGTTCATCAGGTGGTCATGATCAAAACTGAGGTTCTGAGCAACAGCGATCTTTATGGATGTAATCATGTTCTTGGCTGCAACACCATCATCACCCATCTGTTTACTAGAAATTTCTGCTGCACCTAGTATCCTGTAACAAAAGTAGTACTGTGGTAGAGGGGTAATGCAATGTTTTAAGGAAATTATCATGAAAACCATTCATTAGATATAATTTTAGAAAGCCTACTGGATAGATTTTCACTTCTCAACTTGTTCATTTGTTGGTACAGACAAGATGGATATCCATGAAAGAGATATTTTTCAAAAGTCTTCAGAATATATCTGAATATTCCGATAATGGTTACGATTAGAATGTCCGTATTTCTGGAGGCATAGCTTCAGGGTGGCTGATATATAAATATGTATGCACTGTTGGGGCCCTATGCTATTCTTTCACCTCTGCTCTGATATACCAGCTTGTAAATGAAGGGTCCAGTCTAAGGGTCACCTGCACAAATGCCACTGAAATCATGGAGGTATTTGTGTAAGAGAGTAGGAGTGGTCTTGTTCATTTCAATGATACTTGCGTAGATGAAGTTCCCATTAGGTTGGCCTACAATGTACTTTGGGGAAGGAAGAATTTTTATTTTTTAATCAACTGATTGCTACAATAACTTCTTCACACCCAACAGCATGTTTAATATTACTGAAAGGTTCTAGATTTTCCTCCACCATTTATGACAACTGTATGGCAAGCATGCTGTATCACTTTGAACTCATTAGTGGCTTTAAAGAGCTCACAGTGTTTTCTAACTGAAGAATTTCATGGCTGAAGAATTTCAGTAAATGATGGATTTATTTGTTTCACATTATGACTCTCAGTAAATTCAAATGAAATTATTTTGTTACATTGTCATTCTTCTTGATTGGCTGTGCTATTGCACCAGAAGTAGCCAGTTAAAATTCATGGTGATTCTAGAAATTTATAAAAAGAAGGGCTAACAGGAATCTTGAGGTCTCTTATCATGGAACTTGCCATCCTTCCTGCTATAATGTGTTCTAGTTTCCTGGTGAGATGCAACTGGCGGTCATAGATTTTATAACAAAAGAGTTAATTATATTTGCGTGAAAACTTAGTACAAGGTTTATGCTCTGTCAAAAATGACTTTACTGAACTGAGTTTCCCACTCATGCTTAAGAAGGATGTGAAGAATTCTTTCTGAAGTTTGGAAATATGGCAATTAATTGAGATCACATAATAGAAAGTCCTAGATTAGTGAAAATTTAGTACAGGGGTTAGACATCTAATAAAAATGCTTTACAGTGCAATCCAATAGGACATGCAATATTCTTCATCAGGAGTAGAGATATTATCTAGATGTTAAAGGAAATGTGAGAAATTGCCAGTCTTCCAGGGAGCCAAGATCAGCTAAAACTAGCAAAGCAAAATTGTTTTCAGAGTCATGACAAGCACAGTTAACGCTTCCCATTAAAAATATTTGCAGGGACCTGTTTTCTTTCTCTCTTTTCTCATGTATTAATTTATAGAAAACTGCATATTTTGTTAGGGTTTTTGCCTGAAGCCTCCGGAAAGGAAATCAATTTGATTTTCATTGAAGGAAAATTTAAAACTATCATTAGATTTAATAACCACCGAAATATTTTGGGAGACAGAAAGAAAATGCTTTTTGGAAGTGAAAAATGCAGGCTCGCCCCAACAGTTAACCAAGTTCCAGCCTGACTAGAAATCCTGATGGCACAAAAGAGCCAGCTTTGCACTTAACTCTCACTGAAATATAAGATAGGCTGAAAACAATCAAACAAACATTGATGCAAGGGCATATGGCAAGCACAGAAATTTAGTGAATAGTGTTGGCTTTTCACCTTGGAGACTTGGGTTAACTGTCAATCTAGCATGACCACTCGAATGTTCTTGGGCAAATGCCTATCAGCCTCAATTTGCCATCTGTAAAATAGGAAATGGATTGGCCTATTGGGTCATTGTCCTACTTTGTGGGAGAAAAACCAAACTAAAACAAAGGTATTAAAACATTTTGCACATTAGGAATATGGACGCGTAGCTGTTTCTATGTCAAGCAAGACCACTGATCTTTCCACAACTATATTATAAACTGTGACAAGTAATGGCTCTCCAGGGTCTACAGCAGAAAAGTGTTTCCCAGCCCCTGCCTGTGATTTTTTAAAACTGGAGATTCAGGAACTGAACGTGGGACCTTCTGAATGCGAAACGTATGATCTGCTACTGAGTCACAGCCCCTTCTAATGGGGCAGCCAGGACTAGACACAGTATTTAAAAAATGTCTTTGTCACTGCCACCATAAGTTAGTGTTTTCATTGAGCTATCGTCACAGCTCCAAGATCTTTTCCCTCACCAATCACCACTGGTTCAGACCTCATCAATATAAAAATTAGACTTCTGTGCCCCAGTATGCATTACTTTATACTTACTTACCTCAGTTGGGGGACTGCTGTCCATTCACCCAGAGTTGAAAGATCCTCTTGGCACTCTTTATAATGGTTTTGGTTTTTATTATCCTGAAGAAACTGTCATCTGCAAACTTGGTCATTTCATTTTTCACCCCTGACACCATATACTTTATATGTACCATGTTAATAAGATAATGCATTTCAGATACTTAAAACTACTGTTCAGTTTTATTCGTAAATAAAGTTTCAGATGAGATCTCCCCTTTCTCAAGGCTAGAACAATATCTAAATATTTTTCATGTTTTGGCTTAGTCCTGGCAAGGAAATCTGCTCTGGTTCTCATTACCACTTCATTTTTGCTGCCTCTTCCTTAGAGTGTTTATTTTATTCAACATATTATGTTTTACATTTTCCTTATCTTCTAGATTACATAAGAAAAGTTCGGACATCATGAGAAATGTAGCTATAATTCTTCAGTTAGTTGTTTGACACATGTATCCTTTTGAAACAATACATTTGGACATATTTCTACCACTAACAACTTGTCATGAAGACATTTTCATGCCCTACAATGAAATTTTGGTCACAATTATTGGTTGAGCTTGAATTGAGTGGTTGGCAGAACAGTAGTAGGCCTGAGATGAAATACCACTAGTCTACTGGAGTATTTGGGTGTCTTCTAGGTGTCTTAGGAGGAGCACAGGGTCAAATAAATGTGTATGGGGGTACTTAGCCAGCTGAGGAAGCATGGATGATAGCTGAAAGTATCTTCCCCCCCCCACTTATTACTGCTTTTTCAGTGTGGAGTCCCAAGTCCCAAATGGGCACCAAATGGGTGATGTCCTTTGAGACTCTCTTTCATCACCAAATTAAGACAACTGTCTTAGCTGGCTGATAGTGTGCCAATACAGCTCATTTGGCTGCATCCCTCAGACCAGGCCCCAGGTAATGCTGGGAATGTGGCCATGTAGAAGACCGCAGCTTTAAACACCAAGAAGAAAAAGCAGGCAGCCCTTTATGGGTGATATGGAGTGGCTACCTTTCATTATATATAATTTCAACTCAGTAATCATTAGTGTAGAATAATTTAAATCTTAGTACTCTACATCTGAAAGGTAACAAGCCCTAACCCTTCCTCCAAGAACCTCGCAGTAGTATATGTGATACCCTCTCCCTCCATTTTATCTTCACAGCAGTTTTGTGAAGTAAGCTGGGTTGAAGGTACTGTTCTTGGCCCAAGGTCATCCAGTGAGCTTTAAGAACATAAGAGAAGCCAATGCTGGATCAGGCCAATGGCCCATCTAGTCCAACACTCTGTCACACAGTGACCAAAAATACCAGGTGACATCAGGAGGTCCAGCAGTGGGGCCAGGACACTAGAAGCCCTCCCACTGTTGCCCCCCTCCCAAGCACCAAGAATATAGAGCATCCCTTGCCTGAGAGTTCCTATCTATACCTTGTGGCTAATAGCCCCTGATGGACTTCTGCTCCATATTCTTATTTAATTCCCTCTTGAAGCTGTCCATGCTTGTAGCTGCCACCACCTCCTGTGGCAGTGAATTCCACGTGTTAATCACTCTTTGGGTGAAGAAGTACTTCCGTTTATCTGTTCTAACCCGACTGCTCAGCAATTTCATTGAATGCCCATGAGTTCTTATATTGTGAGAAAGGGAGAAAAGTACTTCCTTTTCAACCTGCTCTATCCCATGCATAATCTTATAAACCTCGATCATGTCACCCCTCAGCATCGTTTCTCCAAGCTAAAGAGTCCCAAGCGTTTTAACCTTTCTTCATAAGGAAACTGTTCCAACCCTTTTATCATTATGGGCTGCGGTCACACGCAACATTAGCCATGCAAGAGATACGGAAGACAAGCGGAGTTTCCGGTCGCGATCTCACCAGCACATCTGGGAAGCGTAGCGCTTCCGTGGCACAACTGAGGCTTCCTGCCGAAAAAGCGCAGCAAAAAACTAGTACCTTGGAGGTACTAGTTTCCAGAAACTGCGGGGCAAGGGCGGGCGTCTGATCGCGTTTCCGGTGGTATCCGGCGCCCGCCCATGTCCCCTTGCGGAAAAGGGGTTTTTTTCCCCCACGTCTCCGTGGATGCGCACACGCACCCAACGGAGCATGCGCATTCGTAGTGTACACAAAAAAAGAAAACCAGTTCGCCGCGCCGCGCGCTTCTTCATTGCGCGCAGGCGTGTGTTGTGATCGGCACCTCTCCCTTGCCATGGAACCTCCACAGTACCTCCACAGAACCTCCACAGTAGGTCTGATCGCTTTACTGCAT